AGATATAATTCATAAATTCAGAGTTATTTTTATTCTCCTAATATAGGGGAGTAAGAAATTCATTGAATATTTTGAAATATTTTGGATTTTTTTTTACAAACCATCAGCCTTTTTAAAACCAACAATTCTGTTAAACTTGGACCACCAAATACCTCACAAAAATTAGTGAAGGATTGTCTATAGGTTTGAATGCACACATTTACTGCTTTATAGCTTAGCTTTAGCAATTCATTGTCACGCAGTACATTTTTTCGCAATACAAAGGGTAGACAAATGAGGCCAGATAATGTCTTAGCAAGGATTTAAAGAGCTAAGGGCGGACATGATATTTTGGCTAAGAATAATAGTGTCAGAAAGTGTTCATGCATACATTTCGAAAATAATGAGCTCATTCGGTCCAACAAGCCCGTAAAGAGAATTTTCTTGAAGATTATATCTCCGATATCGGAGAATTCATGAATGAATTTTTCCATAAGCTTTGTGACCAGGGTTCTTTCAGATCAAAGGTGGTAATTATGCATTTCCTGCTTCAGTTTTAGCGTCTTATTTGGCTTGCCGAAATTTTTTCTCAATATTGTGTATAAAAACGGTTGATGAATGAGGCCGAAATTACGTCTGAGCAATGGTTTTTTTAGCAAAGAAGTGCAGACATTGTATTTTGGCTATGAATAGAAATTTTCAACAAGTTTTGGGAAGAATGAGCTCAGTTGGTCTTGGAGCTCATTTCATTGACACAACGCTAATTGGGAACATTTTCGGGTTGATGAATCATTTGTAATTTGTTTTTACTCTGCTCACACTCAGAAGTACTGCTGACTACCAGATTTGATGAGAAATGAAGTGCATGAGCATAATGCTGCTTGCTATTGGTATATGTTGAAAGTTATCGTTCAATTGGTAATCAAAGGGTAGCATTTGGAGAAATTCGAAGGACAATGTACACCAATGACATTATTATATGAGAATGAGACCGATACAATTTCTCAAAATACACATGCCTCATATACACCAAAAAATAATCATAAGACTTTCACAGGTTTTTTACATACAGAACCAGTCCTGAGAACCAGGATAAAATTTTGCGCATAAGCAATTCACAATGCAAATTTGCAAAGCATACATCTCAATCATGAATAAAGATACCATTTTGTTCAACATCTTAAAATTTAGATTAAAACGTTCTCTACATGTCTTGTATTGAAAAAATGTTGCACAGAGCTTTAGTTTCTGAGATTTTCTCCGGTTTGTGAAATATCTTTTTCATCAAAGCTCATTGCTGATAAAAATCAAATTCAGGCATCATGTCAGATACAAATCAACGCAAAGAAAAGCCACCAGTTGCTCAAAACAAAGTTGCCCCACTTGGGGCATTCAATAAGTAAAATACCCTGAATGCTAGAATTAATTGCATTTGTTTCTTGGTAACAATCATTGCTTCCATATAAGCTTTGCAAGCAGAGTTTTTTCAAATTTCAGCTGGCAATTCTAAATTTCCAGATTTAGCTTCAGCAATTAATTATCGCGCCGGAAATTTTTTTTTCTCAAGAAAAAAAAGGTTGATCAATGAAGTCGAATTAGTTTCTTTTAGCAAGGTTTTTTAGCAGTGAAGTGCAGATATGGTTTAATTTTTAAGCTATATAGGAATAGTTTAAGAGAATTTTTGTCCATAAATTTGGAAAAGAATGAGCTTCAGTTGGTGGCGGAGGTCACTTGACCCAGCACCAGCAGCCGGGAAAATCGATGCCCTGAAGCCAACGTGATTTTCAGAATCGCGCTAATGGTCCTTCCATATGGTGAAACTTGTTCCTGATCGAATGCGTTTCCCTTTTCCGTCTCTTCTCTTTTACTCTTGTTTTTTTTTTTTTCGTTCTCGCTCTCTTTCTCTCTCTCTCTTTGCTTTTCTCGTGTGTTTCCCCAGGGCAAGTATTTTATCGACCGAGACGGGGTGCTGTTCCGATACGTATTAGACTTCCTGAGGAACCAGAAGCTCGTCTTGCCCGAGAACTTCCACGAGCGAGATCGGCTGCGGCGCGAGGCGGATTACTTCCAACTCTACGCGCTCGTGAGTCGATTCCTCTTACAAAACCATTTTTCCCTGCTTGCCGTATACTGTATAGGGATGGACTTTCTGGGGGTGAAGACTGATCTGAAATAAGAAATCCCCAATTTATATGAAGGAAGCCATAATTACTTTTCCCGTCCAGCAGCAGCAGCAACAGCTCCAGCTCTCGTTTTTCGTTTTCAATGGTAAATTTTATTTCAAATTTGTACGATGAGGAAAATGGATTTCTTGATGACGTGGTGGGATGCAAGTCTGGGGATAACCCATGCATGGAGGCGTTAATTTCCTGCCCCAATTTTTACGATGAATGAGTGTAATTAAAAATTTATCGCGCTGAGGATTAAACACTTGATACAGATAATTAAAATTATTATCTATATTATCCGTATATAGGGACGGACTTTCCGGGGGTGAAGACTGATATGAAATAAAAAAAAAGCCCCAATTTATATGAAGGGAGCCATAATTACTTTTCCCGTCCAGCAGCAGCAGCAGCTCGAGCTTTCGTTTTTTTCGTTTTCAATGGTGAATTTTATTTAAAATTTGTACGATGAGGAAAATGGATTTCTTGATGACGTGGTGGGATGCAAGTCTGGGGATAACCCATGCTTGGAGGCATTAATTTCGTCCCGCAATGTTTAGGATGATGAATGAGTGTAATTAAAATTGTATCGCTCTGAGGATGAAACACTTGATACAGATCATTAAAATTATTATCTATATTATCCGTTTATAGGGATGGAATTTCCGGGGGTGAAGACTGATCTGAAATAAGAAATCCCCAATTTATATGAAGGGAGCCATAATATTACTTTTCCCGTCGTGCAGCAACAGCTCGAGCTTTCGTTTTTTCGCCTCCAATTGTAAATTTTATTTCTAATTTCTACCATGAGGAATATAGATTTTTCGATGACGCGGTGGGATGGAAGTCCGGGGATAACCCATGCATGGATGCGTTAATTTCGTCCCGCAATTTTTAGGATGATGAATGAGTGTAATTAAAAATTGCATCGCGGTTAGGATTAAGCACTTGATACAGGTCATTAAAATTATTATCTGTTTTAGAATTACAAATCTACATCCATTGTTCATTCAAAGCTTCATGTCGCTTTTCTGGGACGAGGAATTTTCGTTCGCAAAAGTAATCCTCCGACAGGCAGCTTTTTTTCTTTCGATTTGTGAAGGGGGAGATCATAGATTACTTATTCAAGTCATTTGCTAAGAATTTCGGTGAAACCATGGAAGCTGTAATTTTTTTTTTTTGCGGCGATTTTTTTCAGCAGGAATGGATAGAATTACGAATGCATCAGTGCTTTGAAGTAGTGGAAATGGAAAGAAGTCTTTAATTTTGAATCTCTTTCGATGATGCATATCTACATTCGGCTTGAATAATTCATCCTTTTCACATCATGCAAGTACTGATTTTCTTAAAACTTGTGAATGAGCCTATACCGCCTAAATCTTGAAATCCACGAAGGACAACTGTTTTGAGGACTTCTATTCATTTTTATTTTCATTGAAATCAACATAGAATCATTTATTTAGTACTGCAATGCTCCTTTGAAAATTCGTGAAATTGAAGGTATTCTTGTTTTAATTATGCATCTATGCAAGGAGAGTGTAATGTTCATGGCTTATCACGTCTTCTCTTTACTTTTTTTTCTTTTCACAAAAGTGACCATACAAACGTGCCTCAACATGTTTTAATTTTCAAAATTGATGAATTGCTAATTTTCATGTGATGTGATGGAATTTCGTCGAAAATTAGGAACGTTCAACTTTTTGGCAATTTTTTCCAGGAATGGAAAACCAAAAAATGTTGAGGAAAAAATGAAAAAGCGTCATCAATAAATCTTTGGCAGTGGTGCATATTCAAAATCCTAAATGTTCACTGAACCAGGTTTCTCGCGAGTTACTGTATTTTTACCTTTGAAATTGAAGAAATGTGCAATATACATTATCCAGTTATGCATTTTAGTTCATTCCAGTAAGAGTTAATTTTGTCAAAATAAATCATTACTTAAAAAACATTCGATTCAGTCAACAAAAACCGCGGTGTTGGTAATTTTATTGCCAAATTTCTCGCACAGAAGTCCAAGTGCACTTCATGCAGTAAAATGTCAAACGTTTTAGAATCAAGATAGGGAAAAAACAAAGAAGGCAAGCTTTTGAGAAGCGGTCAATATAGGACATGGCATTCACAAAAAAAATGGGAATTTTGGTGACCTAAAAGGGATTTTCGAAGCTTCCATATGGCAGCATCAGTATATATAGACCCAACAAGGTCAAAAAGAATTCCCTGATGAAATTGATCCCCTTTTTTGTATTCTCTGTGAAGCCCTTTCTAAATGGGAGAGAGCACAGTTCCCATGTGAACAACAAACCCATCTCAAATGCTCTTGTATACTAGCAGCCCAAGATGCTCAGTTTATTTTTATACTTTTCAACATTGTTTGTAAAAGCCTTAGTTTAGGACTTTAGGATCAGGAGCGGGTTTTTATAATTAAAAAAGAGAAAAGAAGTCTAAATAATATTGTGAGAAGGAGGTTCTTACTGTATATCTTTAGCAAACACTTTCTCTATTATCGAATGGTATTGTTTTACTGCAAACAATGTTATGATCTCTTTGTTGTATGTTTCTTGGAATTCGTTTGATTTAATCATCGTTCGAACATGCTGAATCCTGATTTTCTTTCTAAAATGAATTGAAATTTTACAAGAATGTAAATATCTGATGATTTTGAGTGCATGTAGCGATTCAAAATTTTGAAGGTTCTGATCCTTTCTCCGTTTCTGTAGACACAAATCTGGTGGTATCATAGGTTATACATTTATTCTGTTAAAAAATGTTTGAAAATATGCAAAAACTTAAATTAATATTTTTCAACCCGGTTTATTTAATATGCCTTATCCAATTGGATCATGAGTCAGGAAAAATAAATAGGCATTGAGCTGGGAGACTTCTGAATTCCTTGAAAATTTCAAGTATTTCATTTAAAAAGCAATAAAAATTGAAGCTCGCGATTTTTTTGTGCCAATTTAAATGCTTTTCTGAATTTTATTGAATATTTCTGAAAAAGATAAGAAAAGACTTCGGTCCCCATGCGTAAATGTATTTATCACAAAATATGTCTTTTGATGTGTATATTGGTGTAGCCTGTATTGTAAAATAAAATTTCAACTGCATTTTCTCATTTGCACTGTAAAATTCAGTCATGGAATTTTCTGATTTAATTGAATAATGGAGCAAGGAAATTCAATGCAAAGCCCTCTTTTCAAATTTGATTTCTGCGGTTTGTTTGGGCTGTGTTGAGGAATTGATTGGCCCAACATAAAGAATTGAACCATAGATTAGTGAAAGAAAATGGTAAGAAATAACAAGGCATGGCAATGAGCTAGTTTGCAGCCAAGGATATGTAATTAAGAGAGCACCTTAGTTACATATCCCTATTTTTTTCTGGTTTGATCAAAGTCCACAAGAAATCACAGTACAATGAATTAATTATCTCACAATAAGTGCAACAATGCAACACACATTCAATGAATACAATAATTTAAATTTGTGTACACAAATTCCGGGTGCAATATCACAATGCAGCAATACAAGCAAAATGGGTTTGAAATGTATCAGGAATGTTTACTGTAAGAGCTAAATGAAAGGATTAATCAATTGAGATGATTAATTGAGATTGGGAAAATTGTGGATTTTTATGCATTATGAGCTGTATGCTCCAGTCAGGTCAGCTGACCAAAGCACACAACTTTTCCCCCCTCTGTGATTGGCAGGAGAAATGTGATTCAAAGAAAGCAGGACCAGAATTCCGGTCCTAGGACCTGATGTACCTGGGCCCAAGTTCTGGTTACCCAGCAGGCCAGAAGCAGATGGATTTTGAATAGAGTAAAACTTACCAAATTTCAATGTTCATAATAGTTCCCAACATTCCCCTGTGAAACTTTGACTGATGAAACGAGTCAGTGAAAAATACTAGAACTCGCATTTTTTTTCTTTTCTAGATTGAGACTTTGGGTGGCGCACGTCGACTTGACCCAGTTCGCATGTTGGGAGAAGACGGGAACGCAGCCTTTGGCACGTTCGATGGACGCCGTGGTTCCATCACCCTGGGCTACAGGTTCGTTTCCAAAAATGGAACCATTTCTCAAGGTTCTTTAAATATATTCAAGCTCCATCGCTTCCATACAGCAGCCCTTGCTTACCCCGTGGTAATTTTGAAAAAGCAACCGACCCGACTTGACCTGAGCTAACTTTCCCGCAGATAAGAGGGCCTAGTTTTCCTTGAGCCAAGCCCTGGAATATTTGCAGCGCACAGGTTTTTGAGAAAAAACATGTATTTTCAAAATCTGTACCATGCAATTGTGAGGGTAAAGTACAACTCAGGAAAACTTTGTGCATAAAATTCGATCGAATGAAGCTTGAAGAGGAAAGAACTTTTTTGAGAATTTCTTACTTGACAGTCAAATTAAAAATTTATTCCATTATATTCCACTGTCGGAGTAAAATTTAGTATTCAAGTGCTAATTATTTAAGCTATAACCTTACCTGGAATAACGTAACATGAACGGAATCAAATGTCCAAAAACAGAAGGTGAAAAAAGAAAAACTTCAACTTGACTCAAATAACACCGCCGAGAAAAATCAAAGAAAATCCGTGAGCCTGAAAATGTCAAGGACTTCGAACAAAGGTGGTTTTAATTAACATGTTTCCTATTCAAAGACATTTTATCGTGTCCTGACTGTTCTACCATTCTTGTGTCGCCGTCGATTTTTCTGAAGAGGAAAAACTTGCTAGTATAGGAAATCTTTTCACGTAGTTCTTCTGGGATAATTTTAATGTACTGTAGGTTGGACGGATACAAATGCCTGTACTGCAAAGATTTTCTGTATACACAGGTAAAGATCTATAAAACTTGAGTTTCTTCATCATGGAGGAAAAAATTCAGGATATCACAATTTCAACACTTTAAAAACTTGACGACTATAACATTATTCGTCGATTAGAATGAATTCATTTTAATTAGATACCAACAACTTTTGTGCGTCATATTTTAAATCAATGCCGTCTCGAAAATTGAGTGAATTCGTTCGTTCAATTAGCTTAATAATTTCAAGTCATTTTAATTCGCGAGTGAATGCCGTCATTGCCTTTGACTAAAGTCCAATCCATCTTCTGAAATAATCTCGCGTGACATCGAATTTAAAAAGAATCGTTAATCTGATTTTTCGTTCAAGGGCACGAAGGTCGAATCACAGATTCAATTTAAAAATGAATTTTAGTGTATATGAGGAGAAGTATGGATTATGTATTCGCATAAAAAACTTTTTCAATGTTTAGATAACATATCTAGTAAAAATCGTGTACAACCATCCATATCACATGCCATAATCTATATGAGAATCCAGTGAAAACGATTTGGCATGTTTTTGGCAGCTAAAATTTCAAATTGCAGTAGGGTCTGCATTGCCTCTGTACTGTATACAGTATACAGTCAATTATGAATTTGTTCTCTCTTCAAATCCTCGTTTCCCTTTCATTCTCATAGGGGTACATTTGCGTTCGGGAGAGACGGATTGGCGGATGTGAAGTTCCGGAAGTTGAACCGGGTTCTGGTGTGCGGACGGGTTGCACTGTGTCGAGAGGTCTTCGGAGAGACGCTGAACGAGTCGCGTGACCCGGACCATTCTGGCCAGACTGACCGTTACACGGCTCGTTTCTTCTTGAAACACACCTTCCTGGAACAGGTTGGGATCGCATTCCAAAGTCCATGTGATGAGAGCTATTATATACAGTACAGCACAAGGCTTCTCCAACTCTTTTTTTTAATTCACCCTCTTGGTTGTGTTGCTTTCACAGAATAATGCGTGACAGAATTTTCGCGCCATTTCTATGATGCAGGTGGCCAAGCACCATTCTACGTTAATTACTGACAAATTTGTTCCATTAAAATGTAGTTATACTGTGATTAAATTTCAGGAAGCTTTGAAAAACTTTTTATATTGAAAGCCTTGTTATAATGATAATTAAACTCTTATTTTTTGAATCGTGGTTTCGCAGGCAATGAAAGAAATTCTTTAACCACTTTGTAAATAAAAAATGCAAATTCTTTCAATTCCAGATATTAAAAAATCTTTTTAGATTTTAATCAAAAATTTTGGGATAATTCAACTCTAATTATTCATGCCGACTACTGATGAGCACTGCAGAAATTGTGAAATGCGTTCCATGCCATCGAGGACAAACACGAGAGCGCGATGGGAATTTGTATTTTTGCATTTGGTTTGCTGCCTGAAGAAAGGAAATCGAAAATAGATTCGAGAGATCGAGACTAATAAAAGGTTGAATATTTGTGCAAGGCAAAGACCAGCTGTGCGTTGTGTCGTCTATCGAAAAAAAAATTGTTCTGTTTGGTAGACAATTTCCATTTTTTCCCATGCAAAAAAACATTTTTTTCAAATCTCACCTGTTTCATGCACTAATCTTGTAGAAAATTTTTTCTTGGAATCTCTTCGTAACCCCCCCCCCCCAATAGTTTAGGGGACAAAAACTCGTTAAGATCTTATTTATGAAACTATATTGGTCATAATATTCCGAGCTTTCGCTGCCAAGGAATATATTGCACTTGAAACTTTGAACCGTCAAAAAGGCTGTTATTTTTATGCAAGACAGGAACATTCTCTGGATTTGCAAAGTCATCAAAGTGTTCTCACTTTTCAAATTTTTTGATAACATGGAACACTTCACAGCTGAGTGCGATAAACCATGTGACGTCAGAAAAGCTTATCGACCGATTGAACGAGGATTTATTCTTCATCTTTACAGCTTTGAAATTCATTGCTCTTTTGCTGGATTTTAGTATGCCATTTTTCAGGTTTTCCCAAAATATCCCGTCAATTTCGGAATGTTACGAGAAAATGAAAACAACTTATAAGGAAAAGTCACATATTCTCACGAGTTTCTCGCTTCTGCGCTGAAATTGAATGGACTAGCATCTCGAAAGGATCAAGTTTTGTCGCATGAATTTTTTCTTTAGAAATATCACGAAAAATATTTTTCAGTCGGAAGGGATCTATAAAGAGTCTCTGTTGGATCTTCCATTCGATCCACACACACAAAAATGAATGGAACGTCCCGACAACCAGATCGTTATCCTGATTGGGACGCATATTTCTCGTTTTCACACTATCTTAAAACCTTTTTTCACACATCCTATACGAGGGTTCCAACAGAAGTTCTCAGAATAGCAATGAAAATGGCTTACAATTGAGCTGAAAAAAATTTATTCTTTAAGGAAAACATATTCTTTGACACACAAAAAATATCAGCCCAGTTTGACCATTTTTTTCCATAATTCACCCTGGCAGAGTTTTGCTCTCCACTCAAAAGATGAGGCGCCCTTTTTTGTTGTAGCCCAGCTTTCCCCTCAAGCCGCCAAAGTGGCGACCAATGTGGCGGCTGTGAAGGCGGCTGTTGATGAAAATGGCGGAATTGCCTTGGATGACCTGGAAGCAACCCTTGGCATGAATGCCACGTTGATTTCGAGAATTCCGAGGGGAAAGCTGGGCTACAATAAAAAAAGGGCGCCTCTCCTTCTGAGTGGAGAGCAAAACTCTGCCAGGCGGGTGAATTATGAAAAAAATTCAAAAAAATTTGTCAAACAGGGCTGATATTTTTTTGTGTGTCAAAGAATATGTTTTCCCTAAAGAATAAATTTCTTTCAGCTCAATTGTAAGCCATTTTCATTGCTACTCCGAGAACTTTTGTTGGAACCCTCGTATGTACTATATACACTGTGTTTCACATTTCCATTACTAGTATCATTTATTTTCTCTCGTTATTTATCCAACAGGCAGTGGACATGTTGATGGATGCTGGGTTCAGGTGCGTGGCATCCTGTGGTTCCGGGACTTCTGGTTCTGCTGCTGATCTCAAGCCTGGAATGGACACGGAGGAAGCGAGGTGGAACCATTACAACGAATTCGTCTTCTTTCGCGATTGAAGAAAAAGATTACTCTTTCTGTTCCCTGATTTACTCCTTCGTTTCTCAGATTGACATGTATTGAGTGCATATATTGTTCTTCGAAACATTTCTCTTCGAACTATACTGCTTCAAAATAAGATGTTCCGAAAATTTCCTTTCAAGTACCTGTGTGTCTTTCGTTGCTCTTGCCTTTTGCAATCAAGATTTTGTTTTTGTGATTATCGCAGCGCGAAGGTTTTTATATATTTTCTGCTGTCCCTTCTTTCGGAGACCATTCCAGAAAACAACCCTGAGTTACCAGTTTTCGAAAGGAAAAAAAGAATGTTCAAGAAACTAGCAGAAAAAAGTCGCCAAATGATTTTGAATCATGATGACTCAGACCTTCAAAGATCGCGACCGGAAAAAAAAAAAGAAGAAAGCACCACCATTTGGCAAAAATGCATTTCGTAAGGAAAAGAAAAAAGAAGCTGTATTCAGACATCAAGCATTTTGGGAACACTGCAGAGGATTTCGAAAGCTTGTGATGGAACTTTGACAAAATATCGCATCATCAACTATTTAGACCATGCATTTCCTCAATTCTCGCGAAAGGAACACGAGGCAGTTTTTCAATGACATTTTTTTTAAATGTCTGAAAAAGAAGCATTTGAGCCCTGGAAATTTAATATCAGAACGCTTCTATCAAGATTAACCGCCTCGTGTTCCCAAAACCGAAGAAAAAACCCTAATTTTAGTCTAAAAGAATTCAATAGCTGGAATTTCGAAGAAAAAAAAAACTCGTGAGTTGCCTGGTATCCATGCTTTGAGAATTTCGGGACGAAAACACCATTTCCGGTGTGAAAATTCGCTGCCGATCTTAGTCAAGAGTTTTAGTGCAAAAGCGGTACAAAAGAACGAATGGCTTATCGGACTTTATTAGAGAAAAAGCAGTATTTGAGAGAATTTTAGGACAGTTCGAAGAAAGAAAAAGACGGAGGACTGTATGTGGAGTATTGGCGGCAATGATGACCTATACCGCCGGAGAAAGTGTCCGCGTACCTCGGAGCTCGTTGATTTTTCCACACACAGAAAATCCCTTTATCAAGCTGTTCTTATTTCTCCAGATTCATTCAAAATTTTAAATCTAGCGGATGATTTTCTTTTCCTTGAAGGATAATTCCTACTCTGAATATTGTGCATTCAGGACACTTTCAACAGTTCAAATGCATGCATCCATTTCAATACTCGTATGTTCATCATGCTTGAAAATTCTTTAAAGTTCTACAAATCCCAGAAAATTACTGCGTTTTATTCACTCTTGAATCTTGAAGCTGCAATATTTATTATTGTCGGTTAGACTGATTAACTATTTCAAAAGTTAAAGACTTGAAAGTGGTTAGATTATCAGCAGGCCGAGGATGGAAACTATCTAACTCATTTTTAAAATTTAAATATAATGAAAAATTAAATATATTGAGACTCAAATAACATTTTAAATATATTCAATCTCCCAATTGAAAAACTTTTGCCCACGATAATTTCTAGTAAATAAATTCATTCATTGTAATCAGATTCTACCTGTTTTATGCGTCAGCTTTTAACCAAGCGATATTGAGAGAAAAATAATAAATCCAGGATATCAGAGCAAAATCCATCCTCATCGCATTTTAATACACTGACGCGTATGAGGATGGATTTCGCATTGGTCCCCTGGTGAAATTCCAGGGCTTATTTTCAAGTGTAGAAAAGAACAAGTCGTTTTTGAAAGACCATCGAACTCGGCGTTGCCCGCGGGACACGTTTCTCAGGGGGATAGATCATGGGGTTTGGGCTTCTGAGAAAAAAGGATTCGGAAGAATAAAGTTTACGCCATTTTCATCTCCCCATTACCCCTCCCCAAAAAAAAACACAGAAAAATTGTATGTGTTGCTGGCTGTGGGCCGCGTGCGTGAGCAGCGATATATCGAGGTTTACAGCTGCATGTGTACAAAGTCCCAGTTGTCCTGCATCTTTTTTCAATTTTCCCCACTGAATTCACAAGGTGTAAAAGAAAAAAAAAGCAAATACGAAAAGCAGAGCATTCATTCGAACATTGATCTCGGTAATGGCGTGTTTGAAAGCGACGGAAAGAATGAGTCGTTCCGTTCAGCTTTTGCTCCTTTTTTTTTTTTTTTTGGTTCAAAAATGCTGTTTTTTGTTTCGGAGGGGCGAATGATCAGCGATGAAGCGATTGGATGGAATAGAAGCGTGTATATGCGATGACAAGATGCCACTGCAGGCAAGTGTGCTGAGAAACGAAAATCGATGGCTTATTACCGTCAGTATAGCGCGCCGGAAAATTGTAATATGAAATGGAAAGAGAAAAAAAAGACTTTTTTCCATCCTTGTCCTTATTTCATTCAAGTGCAGCAGAAGGTTGACTTTTGCTCACAACTTCAAAATCATTTTCTGCAGAATAAGCCTGTGAAGCATTTTTTTTGTCAAGTAACACGAGACACTCGGGCGTCTAATTTGGACAGAAATAATTGGCTCCCAAGTGATTTCCTGGTACGGTATGTGCACTTATGATGATGGGTACACATCAGAAGAGTCTCAAGACAGGAAATACGCAAAAGACTCAGCATTAAAGGACTTTATGTTTTTTTTGCATAATCTTTGTGATGCTTTCTTATTTTTCTTGCATAGCGTAAAAGAAAATATTCGCTTATTCTTTGCGGACAAGAGCGGGGATTTTTAAATTTAAATAAGATATTTACTTTTAAGATGTTTGACTTACTTTAACAGCCTTGGAGCATTTAAATTCAGAATAAGATAGGGATTAATCATCGGATTTATAACTATTCGCGTATGCGTATTTACTCGTATACATAGTGTTGTCCGGCTAAATAAATACAGTATGTATAAATTTGGCAGCGTGTCCTGTCACCTTATATTTAAATTGAGCCGTCCAACTATTAGATTTATCTTATCTCCTTGATGTCTGGTGAATATTTTCTTACTTTGAAAATATGCCGTCTCCAACAATACAGTGAATAATTAATTGCGTCATCTATAATGTGTTATCTTTTTGAGCTTGAAATTCAAGGCGCATCCGACAATTGCATTTAAATAAAGGGGAAGTATTTCTCCTCATCCCCTCCCAAAGCAATTAAAAACTTCAAATCTCGAAAGTCTGCATTTTCCTGATGAAAGGCCTGTTTATCTTTACAACGACGTCAACCTTACATGCTGTAATGTTATCAGATTCCAACAGCAGTATTGTCTATTATTGATGAAATCTGATTGAAAGCAATGATCCGATTTTGCCCATAACACGATTCTATATTTTAAAAAATTTAAATAAGTTACGATGAGTTCACATATGCATAGAAACTGTAGATACTGTATAATGATGATATAATATGTTTAGAAAGCAATGACACAGATCAACCAGAAATTACGGTTGCATAACTCAAGCAAATTCACCCAACGTTTTTGACGATAATGTACCGAAAGTTTATCTTTCGCCGATAAATAAATACTTTGAAAACATGTGAACCGACTCATGTTTTCCACGCAATTTTCCGATAAGCTTGCAATTTGGAATACCTTACCTTGCAATTATACTACCTGTGGTCACAATATTCTGAAAATAATCCAGTGAAGATGTTGCAAATAAACTTGTCTCTTTTGTGTATTTCCTTGTTTTTCATCAACGAAGTGAGTTCTTATTTAGAAGCTAGAGGCGATGGTTTATATTACGGGGGTCAAAAGGTGAGTAGACTCGTATATCCATTTCTAAGACCTCCATCAACAAGTCTCGAGTTTTCTTTCTTTTCTGAACTGCAGGTTTTTCTCTCTGGTGCCAATTATGCTTGGCACAATTACGGACAAGATTTCGGAGATGGTCATTACTTCAGCGAATCGCAGGCATTTTATGAAAGATGGCTAGATGAAATTGCGAGCGCCGGAGGCAACTCAGTCCGTAAGCATCTATGATTTATTAATACAGTAATAGAGAATTTTCTAGAAATATGTATTTGTTCTCACGATTTCAAAAGAGTATTTCCCAAGATTTACTCTTTTCACGTGATTCAAGACACTGCACAATTCTGTCAGTCCCATTACGTTTTTTTTGTATGAATTCGGACTCATATCCTCCAAACAATTGTGGAATAAATAGCTTGAGGCTTGATTGAAATGATTTATTAATTTCTTTATAACCCTAAATTTGACAATATCTTACTTCTTTGGTTAGAATTTCTTAGAAACCTTGGTGCTTCGTATATTCACCATTCACAGGAAATCTGACGAGAACGGAAAACTTTTTTGAATATGATATTTGGATCTGGTATATTTTCTTAAATAAGGGTGTATAAAGGCATTTCAATTTATTCAACTGCAGTACTTAATGTGACACATTTTCAACTCTGTCTTTTTCAATTTCAGTTCATGAGAAAAATGAAGATACTGTAAAGGTGGCCTCTCTACAACGGCCTTTTCTACAATGATATATTCTCTGCATAATGAATTTTTTATTCCCAAAGGGTTCTTGCTGTTAAGAAAAATTTGTCAGGCTGAATAATTTGTCATTTGGATGACGCCTTGCTGAATTAGCAATAATCTTCTAGAGCGAAACATGCATTTTCTGGTGAGCCAAACCCAGGTTTGATTCCCATCTCCCAAAGAACAGAAAATCCGCATTTTTTGAAAATGGTCAAATTCGACCTCTATATAAACGCTTAATCCTCAGAATTGATTTCTTCTCTGATTTCTTCTTTCTTACTCACTCTGCATTTTGGCATTGATTTGCGCTGATCTCTGGAGAAAGCTAGCTGTTTGTAAACTTCTCTTGTGTTGTCCAAATTTGTCCAAAACCCCACGAATTCAAACAACTTTAACAACTTTGACGAACTTCAAATCTCTATCAAAAATATCCCAACTTTATTCTGGGACAGAAGGTCCTAGCTGCAGCCCAGCCGATTAATTTGTGTGCTCATTTCTAATCTTTCTTGCATCCTCAACCTTGAGCTTACCGTATTTAGCAAAATCTGTCTTCTTAGCAATTTTCTGAATTTCCTGCCATTTTTCAGCTGTTGTGAATAAATCTCAAATTTTCCTTGCACTTGCGCCATGTTAAGGGGGTTCTCTACATTCTACAACAAATGTAAGGGACCAAAAAATAGTTTAAGAGAGAATTTCGTTAATAATTTTTTCTGGTCTCTTAAATTTCGAAGTAGAGAAAGTACATCTGGGTTCAGAATGTGATTTAATTTTGTTGTTATAGATGAGAGCAAAACACGCAGAATAAATGTACAGTACCTCAATACTATAAACAGAGAAGACTCGCAAAACGTATGATCGAACTCTTACAGAAGGAAATTCAAAAGATAAAATCTACTTGAACAATAATTTCCATAGTACTTATTGTTTCCTTGACATATGTTCAAGGATTCTGGCTCCACGTGGAGGGATACGTGACCCCGAAGTTTGATGCAAATGGATACGTGATTTCTGGAGACAATCAAGGAACTTTAAAAGAAGAACTGAAGACGTTTTTAGATGCAGCTCGGCAAAGAAACATCTTCGTAGTACCCGTGCTGTGGAATGGCGCATATTTGACGAACCAAAATGCCATAAATTTGGTTTGGGATGAAAGCAAACTCCAGTCGTACATTGACAACGCACTCAAGGTTAGATTCGTCCGGATGGGTAACTGCAAAAAAAAAAGAAAGAAGAAAAAGATCGGCATTATCAGTACAACATAAAAACAAAGCAAAGATTGAATTCAAAATGGATGTTACTACGCAGTCTCTCATGCCAATTCAATTATTTTTTCTCAAGCGAATGCGCAGCGAAAAATTGAATTTTGCAGCATATTTTTCAGTAATTACGTTTGACGATGTCTCGGGAAAGCATCAGAACATCCTCCGAAAATCCCTTTCCTGCTCAAGCTATGAAATTCACATGTTCAATAAATTATTTTCAGCTTTACAGATTCCAATTTCAAGTGCTACTGGTAGATCTAAAATATATTCTTCAAGATGTGTACAATGCGTAATAATAAATTTCGATGAACAAACGAATTTCTCGCAGCTCAATTAAATTTGTTATCCTTGGAGCATCGGAAAAATTCACGGAAATTGATGATAAATAAAAATTGTTAGAAGTTACTGTTACAGTAATTTACCAAAAACAACCATTTCCAACATTTTGAAACTGCTTTTCGTGTCTTCTGCGGCAGTTTGATTTGTACCCATGCTCCTCCATTTTTAGGATATGATAAATTTAAATAAATTTATAGTTCAGTTTTCAATTAGTTTAGGATTTGACAATTAAAAATGGCTGAACTCATACAGTATTTATTTCATCATGATTTTCAGCCACTTGTGTCAGCAGTGAGCAATCATCCAGCGTTAGCAGCCTGGGAAATAGTGAATGAACCAGAGGGTTCCATCAGGGTCGGGGTCTCCAACTCAAATCCCTGCTTCGATACAACTCCTATAAGCAACAGTGGAGCTGGATGGACAGGACTGAGCATTCCAATTGAGAAGTACAGTAACCCAAATTATTGAGTAATCGACGAATAATAATAAAAATTTTCACAACAAACTTCTAGGTATCTAGGATACCCAAAAGAATTATAATCAAAAAATTAATCTAAACCAGATTATTCATGGAATTCTTGATTCGCTTCTGAAAACATCGAAAACATAATTTTTATACTTGAGTTTTCGTGGCGATATCGGAAAATTGTCAAATGGAACAAAAAGTTTTTTCAGTAGAATGCAGCAAAACATATTCAACTGGAAAAAATTAAAATTCAGCAATGAAAAATTATCTATCAAAGGTTTTTTTCAAGTAATCTCATTCTCTTTTTATTACATTTTTATGATGTATACTGTAAGCACTAAATATTTACTCAGAATTGCAACCACTGAACACAGAGAGTTGAACTGAATGGATTGAATTTGTAAGCCAAGGCCGTGCTTTGTCTGAATAATCTGGGCAGATATAAAATCAGATAGTTTTATTATCATTGCGATGCAAAACATTTTTATTTCTATCGGAAATAAAGAAATACTGGGCATGCACAGGAGGACTCTCTGTACAAAGAAATTAAATGGACCAGAAAAAAAGTCGTTTTGGAGAGGATTTCGTTGTTCAGACGATCAGACCTCAAGAAAATTTGCAGAGAACCCTATATATATGGGCCTGAACAAAATTTCGTTAAGCAGAAAAAAATTGTTGTAGAAAAGTTATGTGTGATTATTGTGTTTGTGCATGCGGAAGCCCATTTCCTAAAACTAATCCGTCGATTTTCACCATTTATTTATTCTTGCAAGGTATGAAATCATCCATTTGAATCATACTCTCATATTCAACTAATCTTTTTTTTCATCCCTTGAAGCTGGCTGAAGTTCATCAACCGACAAATAGATGCTATCAGAAGTGTGGACCCTGCAATGCTTGCCACCCAGGGTGCCTGGTCAGAAAGGTCCCAGACAAATGTTTGCGCAGACTGCCACAATTACTTCAGTGATGACTGCCTGATTGCAGCTGGTGGCAGGCCTGGTGGCACTATCGATTTCTACCAAATGCACACATACTCTTGGCAGAGTCAATACAGTCCCTACAGTCCATTGAAGGTACTGTAATGCAGGAGGGTTGGTGCATAAATTTTGAGACTTTTTGAAAGAGATCCCAATGGAGGTTCAACAATTCAAAACAAAAAATTTACTTGTTGCTAGCCCCATCAGTTGGTAACTCTTTTGTTCTTTTAAACATTTTCTCTGCCAATTTGAATATATTTGTTCAAGCAATAAATAAACTAAAAATTAAATTTTATTTCACTGTTGGGAACAGCCAGAATGAGACACAGGGTGCCTACCCAGCAAATAATTTTGCCATTGCAACCTGCATTGCAACTCCATTGGCACCCCATTTTGAGGCAAACGTTGGGCTAACGGTCATTTGGTCACCCTAAAATGGCTGGGGGAGCAGCCGTTCCCTGGGTCGTTCTCAAATGCAGCCAGCATGGATTGCCAATGACCCCTGTTTCCCAGCATGCATGCAACCACCCCCCACCCGCCCTTTTAATTACTGTTGTACAATCCATACAGAAACCCATTGCACACCCATTCTGAAAACAACCCCAGATATGGAGCAGAAAAAAAAGAAAAATAAATTCCCATTCAATTGCTGCTGTTTT